TAGAAGATTTTAAGAGAACTCAGAATCTTGCATCACAACATTCAAAATATTCTGGATGCACTCCAAAATTATTAGCCAACTCAGTGGCCAGTGCCTATAATTCCAGCTACTCAGCAAACTAAGGCAAAAGGATCATGAGTTGGAGGCCAGCCTGTACAATATAGCAAAAACTTGCTTAAAAGTTATTTAATGCATAAAGAACCATGAAAATAACCAATTCAATTATTTTAAACTGCAAACCCTGATATGACCCAGGATGGAACTTCTGGACACAATCTCTGTAACACCTATTATACCCATGAGGTAAAGATAAACATTCTTGAATAAATGGAATAGATGAAAGTTCTCAGCAGACAAATAGAAAAGTCACACACAAATGAAAAATTTTAAACTGAAAGATACAATATTAGAAATTGACCATTCAGTGAATGAGCCCAAAAAGCAGAATAGAAACAACAGAGGAAAGTATCTGTAAGACTGAAACATGTCAATATAACTGAACGTGGTGGTGCATGCCTGTAATCTCAGCACTCAGGATGCTGAGGCAGAAAGATCCCAAGTTTGAGAACAGCCTGAACTACATAGCGAGACCCTGTATCCCCACTGCCACAAAAATCATCAATAAAAAGAACAGAAAGGAAAAGATTGGAAAAAATTAACCCAACCCTAGAGAACTGTTGATTTAACATGAGTCATTGGAATTCCAGAAAAAGAGAGATTTTTTTTCAAAAAGATATTTGCAAAAACATTTCAAATTTTCTGAAAGACATATATTTATAGATTCAAGAACTCCAGTGCTCCCCAACTAGGTTAAAATTGAATAAAACTTCCAAACACATCATAAACAAATTGTTAGAAACCAAAGGTAAAGAAAGCATCTTAAAAAAACCAAGGAGGAAAATGGTAAATGACACATAAGAGAAATGATGGCCACAGGTTTGTCATAAGAAACAAAGGAGCTCCAAAGACAGTGGGATAGTATCCTTTAAGTACTGGAAGAAAACAAAGTAAAGTACTAGACGGGAAGTATTGTCAACTCAGAGCTCTATATCCAACAAAATATCCTCAAGGAATTCAGGCAAATAAAGATATTCCCTGATGAAGTAAATTTAAGAGAATTCATCATCAACAGACTTGTTCCCAAAAAAAATGCTAAAGAATATTCCAGAGGTTGAGGGGAAATTACATCAGAGGGAAACATAGAACTTTAGAAATATACAATGAACAAAAGAAATAAATATCTGAATAAACTGTATCTCCCCTGTTAAACTCCAAAATATATGTGACTATTGAAAACAAAAAATCTAGCATTGTCTGTAATGCTTCAGTGTATATAAATAGAACATATATATGTGTATATATATATGTATATATAACAACAATAACATAAAGGGGAAAAGATAAAAGAGCCTATATGGTTTTAAGATTTATATAGTTTACTTGAAGTGCTACATATACTCTGAAAAGTTATACATTGTAAGTTCAACAGCAACAACTAAAAAATACCACAAAGAAACAGCCAAAAAGCCAACAGAGATGAAACACTATGAAATATTCAAATAATACAGAAGTGTTTTAGAAAGACAATAAGGTGACAAAAGAAAACAAACCCTTAAATCCAACATAACAACAATTTTATGAATGATGGAAAAACTTATACCATGCAAACACTAATCAAAAGACAGCAGAAGTGTTTGAATATTGTAATACAGTTCATTTATATTGGGGACTTGGTAACCAGCTGATAGGTATGGGGAAGTGATTAGATTCTCAGGGTATGTCCTAATCAATGGATTAATCCCTTGATGGAGTCATAACACAAGAGCATTAGTGGGAGGTGATGAAAAATAGGAAGTGGAGCTTCGCTGGTGTGTCAGTGGGGTTATATCTCACCTGGCCTCTTCCTGTACTCCCTTTTCTTTGCTTCCTGTCTACCATGAGGTGAGTAGCCTCTACCATGCTCCTGCCTCACCACAGGCCCAGGAGCAACACAGCCAGCCGAGATGGAGTAAAGCCTCTGAAACCGTGAGCTAAAATAAACCTTCCTCTCATTAAGTTATTTATGTCAGGAACTTTGTCACAGCAAGGCAAAGTCTGACTAACACAAGTGCCTATACTAATTTTAGACAAAGTAGACTTCAGAACAGTGAAAATTACCAGAGATAAAGGAGGACAATATATAAACATAGTTTAAATTCTTCAAAAAAGACATAATACTAAATGGTATGCATCTAACAACAAAGCTCCAAAATACATGAAGCAAAAGCTAAGCTGAAGAAAAATAAACAAATCCACAATCACACTTAAAGTCATCATAGGATCCTTAATCTTAAAATCTTAGCCACAACTGCTTTCTATGCCTCTAGCTCCACAAAGAAATGACTCTGCCTGAGCACTTAGAGTGAACATAGCACCATGTTCAGAACTGTGAGAACCCCATCCTAGCCAGGTGTAGGGCTGTGACTGTGGCCAGACATTAACTACTTGTCAAATTGTAGAGAAAATTAATAGTAATTTTCCCAGCAGTACCTCTGAGAAAGTTCAAATGTAGCATCAAGAATCCATTGTAGACAGGTGGTAATTTGCATTCATCATCTGTTCTCTCACTCTGGCAACAGTGTCCAGATTTTGCTTTACAAAAATACCTCTAAACACCCCTATCTTGAACCACAATTAACCTTAAGTCAGTAAGTATAGTTTGTCCTGACTCTAGTGCTCCAGTGATTGGTCAGAGATGGGCACACAACCCAGCCAGAGTCAATGAAATACAAGAACATACTTGCTGGGGCTTTTAGGAAACAGCTGCTTCTCTTCTCTGTGGGAACCAGCAGAAAAGACAATATCCATTTGACTGGGTAATGGTGTGGGAGGCTACCAGAGGTGGATAGGTCAGAACTTCTTTTACCTCAGAAGCAAACCTAAAATTGTATTGTATAGGACCCAAGTGAAGCCTACACTGTGGAAGACAGAGTGAAAAAAAACAGACAAAAAAGGGACTTAACCCTGATTCTAACCTTACCTAAAGACAAGACAACTCTTGTGTTTTATCATTGTTGTTATTATTATTATTATTATTATTATTATAAAAAGAAATACATTTTTCCATTTTTTACTTTTCTTTTCCTGTTTTTTTTATTGGGTGGTGGTTGATAGGTTGGTTGGCTATGGATTGGTTGGGATTTTTGCTTATGTTAATTTGGGTTGGGTTTTCTGTACACAACACAAGTCCTAACTAACACAATGTGTGTAACTCCATAAACCCCATACCTTTCTCCAGAAATAAAAACAAAACTCATTTGCAACAAATGCTTTTTCGTTTAATTCTGGATAGTACAAGTGAAGACTTTTAGAAAGATAATGATATGCAAGCACTTTAAAAGACAAAGCTTTATATGCAGAAATAATAATCACTTAATGAATAACAATAGATATATAAAAGGGAAATTAATACTATAAGCAAAAAATAGGTTTTCCGATCACATATTAAGAATGCTACTAACTTTTATTAACTTTGCTTTTTCTAAGCTTTGAAGAGTTTCACTCTAGTAACTGCCTCCTGAGAGAATGTTTACCACCATTAATAAAGTAATTCTTAAAGAACAAGAATAAATTCAGGAGGCCCAAGTTTTCCCTGATCTTATTTATACCCATGGAAGGAATGGCTTCCAAATCCCTCCATGAGTTTTGTGTTTCAGGCTGAAGCTCCCTTTCTAGACAGAATACTTTAAGTGTTCTGGAAATCACAATCATCCTCAACCTTGGTAGGGAACATTCTTGCTGTCCATTTGAACAAGGATTGAAAGCTTAAAACCAGGGAGTTCCTCAAATGAAAATGTTTCTGTGGATAAGGAAGGGCTATGTGGAGACATTGACATGGAGTAGATTCCAGTAGGTATGGTCTTGGGGCTAGCATAGTGGCTCATGTGGTAGAGTGCCTGCCTAGCAAGTCTGAGGTCCTGAGTTCAAACCCCAGTACCACAGAGAGAGAGAGAGAGAGAGAGAGAGAGACTTCACAAGGTGTTTATCAAGGACCTGCAAGGAAATCCAGGGTGAAGGAAGTACAGCACAGTTCTCACCAGGCAGCTGCCCTTAGTCTGAGGGAGGCTGCCTGCCACTCCTAGGACTCTCATCCATTGTAAAACATAGAGGACATAGGAAGCACCATGTGCAGGAAAGAGATATTACATCAGAAGAGGTCCTAGCCATGTAGCTGTGAGTAACAGAGAAGAATTCAACATGCAGAGATAGAAGTGGGTTTTGCCAGCTAGAGGCAAGAATGAGAGAAGAGACACAGAAGAGGAAGTGCAAAGCAGTGCAGAGACCATTTTGTAATCAACCTGGATGGGATCTGATCACAGAACCACCTTCTCTGGGGGAGCTGTGCTGGGGAGAAGTCTTGACTTGATGGATGAAAATTCAGAAGCCCTCAGGTGATCAACAGACCCCTACCAACACTGCAAAGAGGCCCTGCATTGCTAGGAAAGGGCACAGTCAAGGAGGAAAAGTCCATGGCTCTGGGTTTGATTTTTAGCTCTGCCACATTAATACCAATGTGGCCTTAGACATTCACTTAACCATCTGAGCCTCAGGATCCCAACTGTAAAAGGAGAATACTTGTTTTTCTGTGAACCTTACAGGATTGGCATGAATGTCAGGAGAGACTGTGGCCAAGGAATAGCATAGTCAACTACTTCTGTGTAGTGGTGACAGTGCCATGTATGTGAAGCTCCCCCAGGAAATGTTATTTTTATCCTATTATTGCTACTGTGTAAGAGATCCTGGAGACCAGGGAACGTGCCTGCTTTAGGACTAGGATCATAGCATGTGATTTTTTTAAAAAGGCACTTGACGAATGAATAATGAGTAAATGGATAGATAATATTCAGAACCCTCAGACTAGATAATAAAATCAACCATTTAAGTGCTGCTGAAAGCTTGTTGACTGTTTTTTGTTGACTCTTGGGATGTTTGCGATGGCAGAGACTCTGAGTTCATGATGATCAGATGGTGTCATGGTAGAGAAGGAAGCCTGTGAAGGTAGAGTCGTTGACATTGTCTGCATAGAGTCCATTATGGTCCCCGTCCCCATACACCTGAAGCCAGACTTGGTCACCCACCTCCAAGTGGAGGAGCACAGAGCCAGAGGCCTGGTCCACGTTCTTGTCCTGGTACTGGTCATAAGTGAAGAGCACAGCCTTGTCCTTCTTGAAGAGGCTCACCTTCACATCCTTCGTGTAGACTGTGATGTGGTAGGAGAAGTAGTACAGCCCTGGAATGTTGCAGTGGAATTTTCCGGTGCTACCATCATAGTGGCTTTGCTGATTGTAAAGATTTTGGTAAAGCGGATGGGAACATTGGGGACAGTGACCCGGTTCTCCAGCCCCACACTGAAAGCTGAGCGGTATACATAAGCACTTTCTCCAGGCTCTCCTTTCCTGCCTGGGGTTCCTGGAAAGCCTCGGGGACCTTCCACTCCAGTCACTCCAACTTCACCAGTGTCACCCTTAGGACCAACAAGACCTAGAGAATGAGAAGAATTCAGTGACCACAGGGATCAGGACTCCTGTCTTGGTTGTTTCTAGCTGAAGGCACTATTCCTGAGACGTCCACCCATAGCCTGGTGGGACAGGCAAGGAGAGATGTTACCTCTTCTTTCTACATATCCCACAGCCCAGCAGGTTCCATAAACTCATCTCCCATCTAATAAAAAATATTCTTAACAAATGAATGAGTAAATGGATGAATAATGATCAAAACTCTCAAACTAGAAAGTAAAGCCAGTCTCTTAAGTACACTGAAAGCTTGTTGGCATTCTCTGATTGACTTTGAGGCTGTTTGGCCTAGGAGAGGCTCTGAGTTAGTAGTGATCAATCGGTATCAGTCAATACTCTGAACATTACTTAGCCATTTATTCATGTGTTCATTCATTCATCATATGATTTTCTCCATTCCTCACAGTTCGTTAGATTCCCAAAGATTCATCCCCACCCTCAACTCCTGTAAGTCTGTGTCATAGTCCCTCTACTTGAAGGTGCTGGCTCAACCAACCAAAATTTTGCTATCTCTTCTGTCTGAGATGCCCTCCCTCCTCTTTTCAAGGTCTGCCTCCCCCAGAGGGTTCATTGTTAATCCAGATCTGCACTGAGTGCATCTTCTCTGTGTTCCATTCTTTAGCCATTCATTCACTTTCAGTTTGGCATATTTGGAATAGATATTCTTCTAGTAACCAACAACAGAGGCTCAGACTTAGACTTATCTTCTCAACTCAGCCAAGAGTTCTCCAAAAGCTATGGAGAACTTCAGAAGGTGTGCTGAATGCAACTACATGGAACAGGAATTAAAGGGGGAGAAGAAAAATAAGAATCTGAACACACTGTGCATAGGGGTGGAGGAAATGGAGGAGAAGAAGTGAATGGAGCAGAGTCAAGGGTACCTCGGTGTAGGGTATTACCTAGTCTCACTCCTAGAAGAATGCCCCAAATCCACTCTACATTGCCTATGGGCTACATGGAAAAGCTTTGCTTCTTGTTTCTATGTAGGCCTTGATTGGTAACTACTGTCCACATGTAGCCCTGGAAGCCCTCCTCTTCCCAAAGAGGTCTCTGGTGAAGGAAGCCAAAACTCTTATTCTTACCTGCATCTCCTTTCTCACCCTTCTCGCCAGGGGTGCCATCTCTGCCATCACGACCTGGGGTCCCATTGTGGCCAGGAAGTCCAGGGATGCCTGCCATCCAACCTTGGCAGGCCTCCTTAGTCAGGGGAATCAGGACTCCTGGCCCCTCGGTTGGGGTATCCTCAGCAGGACTAGGCAAGGCTAATAGCAGGAGAACAGCTTGCAGCAACAGCATCCCGAGTGCTGGAATCCATGTGTGCACCATTAGCCATGGCAGAGGCAGACCCCACACAGCACATCCAACCAGGATCCGTGCAGGGCTCCATTCACCTCAGCAGAACCCACTTCTCACTGCCCTCTCAATACTCACCTCTTCCACGAAGGCTTTTCTGACTACTCCAGCCCACCTTAATGTCTGGATGCTCTGAAATTTACACTGCTTAGCAATATTCCTTGTACATATAGTGTCCTTTCCGCAGCAGGATTTCACAATCCACGTCTAGAGATGGCAGGGATGACAAATCTGTGATTTGTTTGTTTGTTTGTTTTATATAAGCTGTGATCTAAGGTACTCAACTGATTTTTCCCTCATTTGAAAACTAGTCCTTTAAACATCTTTGATAAATTAATCTTTCCCTTCCCTATTGCTCTAATAATGCATCATTTATCAAATATCAAGTCCTAGCATAGTCTTATAAATAAAGTAAGAATTGAGACTGTCAGACAGAGGCAAAGACAGGGACAGAGACAGTAGCCACAGAGAAAGGTGCTGCTCCTTAGAGGTCAAGTGTTCAAGACTCACCACGCGTGCCTTTGTCGCCCTCTACTGAATCTGGAGGGCTCAGAAAGGCGTTCTCACAGCTGTTGGGAATAAAATGAGAGGAGGTTTAGGCTAGTCCCAAGGTAAGAAGAAAGAGGTGAGGTGGATGAAAAGCAGAGGAGGGGAGACCAGCAAAACCCCTTTTTTATTTAGGGACACTAGAAAAGTCTCCCTAACAAAAGACTTTTCTATTTAGGAAGACTCAGAACAAGGGACACTGCTTGTTCTGGGACTTGGAAGATTTCATGTCTTTAAGCTCTCCCACTATTTCTCTATTCTGCCTTTTCTCCTTATAGCTCCAACAATAAAACTTGTAAGAACTTTGGCTCTGTGCTTGTTTTCCCCAGAAATGAAGGGAAGAGTCTGTGAGGCAGGATCTTTTCCATAGGAAACAAAAGGAGAGAATCCAGGATGTATGGACTATTGGAGGTAGTTAGGAGTGCCCCCAAAGAGAGACAGAGGTAATTGAGGGCTTGCCCCAAATGCTTGGCAGGAAGGCAAAGACAGGAGTGTCTAGAATTCTCTGTTTCCTCCCCTTCGTTTAAATATTGATATGTTATTCTCCTAACCCAAAGAAACACATTTTGTTCCCAACACATCAGTATTGTGGACACTTTTCTCCACTAATAGGTGCAATCCAACTGGTTTCCATGAGAGTATCATGGGGTAGAGATACTGAAACGGAGAGAGAGGGGCTCAGCACACCACCCCAAGAAGTTCCAATGCTGAGAACTGATTCCAACTGAAGAAGAAGGCTTCATTCTAACCAAATTCTCGATGGCGATTGTAACAACTGAAGGACAGTACAGAGGTGCCTAATTAAACACAAACAAACAAAAACTTTCAAAATTATCTGTGTTCTATATTCAGAAAAAGCAATTGAATCAGATATGTACAGACGTTCTACCCAACACTATCAGATAGCCACTGTGGAAACGAATACAGTGGTTCCTCAAAAAAGGAACACAGAATTATGCAGCAGCTGACATCTCAGGTATAGTCCCAAAATACCTCAGGGTAGGGTCTCAAAGAGATAGCTGTGTACCCATGTTCATAGCAGCATTATCCATAACAGCTAAAACTTGGAAGTATCCCAGGTGTCCATCTGAGGGCAATTTTTAAAGGAAATGTGATCTATGCATATTATATATAAGAGAAGAAATTCTGACAGATGCTACAAATGGATAACCTTGAAGGCCTTCTGCCAAGTGAAATAAACTAGTCAGAAAAAAAAAAAAAGAAAAAGCAACTGACTTTGAAAGATTTATATTTCCATGGGGAACACATCATTAAATTAAACTGAAGAGTATAGATGATCTAAGACTCAATCATGTCCATAAAGAAAACTCTTCACATGGATCGTGAAACTAAGCCCCAAGTATCACTTATAATTCTTCACCTTTGTAGAAAGCTAGTCATGAAGTCCTCATCTCACTTAATATCTCATTTAATTCTCACAGCCATGCTGAGAGACAATATGGAGTACATAGGGAATACGTGACCTGTGATCTTAGCTTTTAGGTGCAAATAATTTGTTCTTAGCTTTAACATATTTCAGTCTTGCGTGTTTGTTGGAGGATTAAGTAGCATAATCCATGTAAAGTACTTAGAACCTTGTCTGACACATGTCAGTTAACTATGAATGTTCCCATTTTAGGGGTAAGGAAATGGAGTTTCAAAGCAGATTAAGTGACTTGTCCAAGATTTCATAGCTAAATGTACAGGAGCTAGAAGTCACACTCTGGTCTTCAGAGCCCAGGGGGAGAATGTCATCCTGGTCTTTCAGTACTCCTCCCCACAGGGTGGGGGTACGAGAAAACTTCGTGAAAAGACATACAGATTGTGAAGCTGGTGACCCGCTTCTCAGCGAGGCACCATCTTTCTCTCTGTGGGTGATTTACTCTCCCCCACTCACTCAGGGTGTGGGAGTAAGCACCTAGACTTCAAGTTCTTTGCCTGTAATTTAGGGATTTTAATCCTTATGTAGCCTTTTTCACAGTATTATTGAGAAACCCAGTAGACAGAAAGAGTGAAGGTGCATTCTATAAATTTATAAAGCCCTGTACATACAAGTGAGAATAGGCCAGCAGACAAATATTCATGGACCACCTGAATATCGCCACAAGATAAACCCAAGAACCAGAGAGATTCCGTAATTTCTGCCCAAGGATAACAAGTAAGAGGAGAGAGGTGCACTTTAAAATTTAAATCACCACACTGGCTTTGCCCTTTACTGACCTTGCTAGCAAACCTCTACAGACATGGTATCAATCCCTTTTAAAATCATACAAGGGGCCAGCCATGGTGGCTCACATCTATAATCCCAACTCTGGGGAGGTAGAGTTCAGGAGGATCATGGTCCAATGTCAACCTGGGCAAAAACGTTGCAAGACCCCATCTCAACAAATAAGCCAGGTGTGGTGGCACACATCTTGCAACCCTAGCTACACTAGGAGGCATAGATAGGAGGACAGTGGTTTAAGGCCAGCCCTGGAGCAAAAACACAAGACTCTATCTGGAAAACAACTAAAGCAAAAGTGGCTGGGGGTATGGCTCAAGTTGTAGAGTGCCTACCGAGCAAATGCAAGGTCTTGGGTTCAAACCCCAGCACCACCAAATTAATTATAAGAGGATGACCATGGGATCCTGAAGGGCCATAGTGTGACCTCTTATTTTCTTTCTTTCTGCTTTTTTTTTTTTTTTTTTGGTAGCACTGAGGTTTGAACTCAGGGCTTCAAGATTGCAAAGCAGACACTCTAACACTTGAGCCATGCCTTCAGTCCATTTTGCTATGCTTATTTTGGAGATGAGCTCTCCTGAACTATTTCCCTGGGCTGGCATCAAATTTCAATCCTTCCCATCTCAGTCTTCCAAGTAACTAGGCTTGCAGGCGTGAGCCATTGGCACCTGATTAATCTCTCATTTTCATGTTAAAAAGTATAAGAAATTCTACTTTAACCTGTTTGATTTCAATAGCAACAGCACAATCTTATGAAATGCAAGGACAGGGTCCTCTTGGGGTCAGCAGGAAAAAGAGCTACATGGGGGAAAAGTCACCAAATCTGGTGTCAACTCCTCCAGCAGGAAAAGGCATTAACGCACACAAATTCCTGGAGTGCCAGAGCCTAAAGGGACCCCAGAAACCATTTCATCACTGCCCTGCTTTTACAAAAAGGAGAGAAAATTTTATTAGATCCTCACTACCATGCTAGGAGCTTTTGCTCATTATTCAATTTCACCTTTATAAGAATTCCATGCAGGAAAGAAAACCATCCACACTTCAGAGATGAGGAACCTTAGAAAATAAGAAAATGAACCCTGAGATCCCCATTCTGACTTTCGACCCTGTGAGCCTTCCATCCCTGTTCTAAACACATTCCACAGAGCCTCATATTCAGCTTCCTCGTCTACTAAATGGGATCATGTGAGATGAGGAGCATGAGAACACATTGAAACTGATGAGCACACCTTGGAATAAAATTCACATAAAGCACTCTCAAACCTTATTTCATTTAATCCTCCCTGCCTTTGGCTCTACTGAACCTGAGACTTGAAAAAGCTGAGACACTGGCTTGACACCATGCAACCACTGGACTGAATGATGGGGAATTGTCATTCTTAAAAACCAAAATGGCAGAGTATGGACAATTTCACAGGGTGCAACCTAACCATAAATGACAGAAGCAGAAACTGACTCAGCTCTGTCTGGCTCCTAGAAGGATTATCCAAAAGCTTTCCCTCAGTCCCGGAACTGCTGTCAGTATTCCCATGTTCACCACGCGTATATACACATCCATAGGCACACCCAAGAGTACACACACACACGCACACACACACACACACACACACACACACACACACGTGCTCTTGAAGAACTGGCAAAGCAGAGGATCCCTCCACTACACTTTCATGCTTGTGAAAGAATTCCTGATTGAATGCTTCTGTTCTCCAATCTCAGCCAACTGCCAGGGGCCACCAGCCCCCCAGCATGACAAGGAGTTATTGGAAAGTCTGTCCTCACATCCACCTTATAAAGGACAAGGAACAAGTCCTGTCTTTCTCCTTAAGACTCCCAACACTTGGGGAGGGGAGTCAACAACGACTTCTTTTTTTTTTTTTTTTTCATAATTGGTTTAATGTTTATTTGATATATATATAGACATAAACATAATATATACTTTACAAAAATGCTTTGGTTTTACCATTTAACATAATGCATAATTTTTGGCAATAACAAAAACATGGTGACTCCTGTGAACAAATGCAAAAAAATTAAAAATGCAATACTGGATTGTTTTGTGACCATTTTAACAAGTTCACTAAGTTATTTGATAATTTCATAGAATTTTAAAGAACTGAGTAACACTTGAGTTTAGAATAACAACTTTTGTCCCTTCAAGTCAGTATTTCAGATT